GGCTGTCCCAGCCTGTGTCAGCTTGATGGGAGCTGGCTCGCGAGGGTCAGGAGCGCGCAGAGGGGGCTGTGATGCCTCCAGGAGCTCCCTCAGGCCAAGTCTCTCATCTAATTAATGGATTTTAGCTTTTCACAACCCAGAAAGCCACCTGCCTCTTTCAGTAGCCCTCACAGCCCTCTATTACCCCCTTCAGTGCTCTCTATCCCATGCACAGCTGCTCTGCAGATAGCATCTGTGTTGGGTCCTAATGAAGAGTGGTGTAGAGCTTTGAGCAAGGCAGACACCAGGCTCAGGAGGCTACTTGGGCTCCTTAAGCACGATGTTGATGTTGACACGCTAGCAGAGACGGTGGCACGTGCCTGTTGCAGTGCCCGAACATTGCTGGGATGGGAGCACGCGTTGGGTGTCTCAAAGCCAAGATGAGGAGCCATGGGTCTAGGCTGGCTATGGTGCAGGGACCACACTGTTGTTCCTGAGAGAAGGCTGTTAGAAGAAGGGGATCCCTCCCACAATTTCCCCTCCATGTCTTGCCTTCACCGCTGGCAGGCAGGCTGGCCACTGGCTCCCGGCAGGGCTCTGTGGTGTGTCTGTGGCTGGTCGGAGGGAGGCACGGATGCGGACAGAGCTTTTTCCCTTGTGACTCCGGCTGCCTCCCACTGCAAGGGAATCCCTTCTCTTGGTATTGTGCTCAGCGCTGACCTTCCTCACTGCGAGGGAAATGACCGCGTGAGCCACGGGTAAAGGGCAGTGTCCTGCGCCAGCTGGGATTTGTTCACTTCAAATGTTGTGATTCCAGCGAGCTATGGGGAGGTAACCAGAAGTACAGTAAATCCATGCTTTCTTGGTTGGGCTGAACAGAAACAAGAGATCAAGTTCAGCCAGTTACACTTGGCTGAAGTAAGCAGAGTTGCACCAGAACTCAGCTCCCCAGTGTCTCCATTGTCAGCCCTTAGTCATCTAGGTTAAAAAACAAAGAAAATAAGAAAAACACACCCTGAGCCTCAGCTATGGTTTTATTAGCATGTTACTAGTACTACTTCACATGTCAAGTCACCGGAGAGAGCAGGTGCTTGTTGTCTTTCCAAATTCTGGTAAAGATCGGGGCAGGTCCCCTCCTGCTCCGACCCAAAGCTTGGCTGTATGAGAAGCTCACGGGGAAGGATGTTGTGTATTTGTGCCGCTCGCTGAGCAACACCAGTCCTTGCACTGTGAGGCGCAGGCTGTTACGTGTGCACTTTGGTTGTATTCATGGATGTGTTCCGGGAAGCAAAGCAGCCAGGAGGTGGCCCTGGACCGAGGGACACAGGCTGGAAGTGGCCCTTTTGTTCTTGTTTTCTTTATCTTGCTAGTATCACATTTCTCACTCTGCTTTGCGCACCTCATATTTACCCTTTACTGAGCTTTTTGGGTGGCAGTTCGCAGTGTCCCCCCAGGCAGGCTTTGCTTTGCCACGTGCAGCTCATCAGAACTGCCGTCACTTCTCACCCTGGGGTCTGGCTGCTCGATGCACCACTGCTTTGGGCTGCCACTGCTAAAAGGAGCAGCCATTGGAGCTGCCGGTGCAGCGCTTTGGGGACTATTTAATTCTCCCCACTTGTCTCTAATTTCATTTGCTCTGTCCCTTCCTGCCTTTCTGGACTGTGGGGTGGTGAAACAGCATTGCTTCAGCCACGTTAGCAAGGGGATGAGGTGAGGGAAACCAGAGCCCACAGTCACTCTGTCAGGGCTGAAGTGACCAAGTCTGAGACACAAACCAAACCTAAATTTCTAGAAGGCAGTGGCCTGTTAAAGAACAGAGTCTGTGGGCCACGATGGCCATCAGCCACGTCTGCCCTGTCTGAATGGGCAGCTCCAGAGCAGCCATAAATTAGGAGGAGGAGACTCTGTGGCCTCCCTGCTGTATGTCCTCACGTGGACTTTGCAGTCTCCCTGGCCGAGGGTGCCCGACGATGCTCACACGTGTGGACGTGCAGCCAGAGGTTGTAGAGGGCTGCTCTGGAACGGCATTTCCCACTTGCAGTATGGAAATAAGTGCAAGCCAGCATTGCCCCAAGCTTGACACACTGGATTGCAATTTGTGTTTCTTTGATTGTGTGCTCCAGGAATGGAGATAGTTAATCTTAGGAACAGAGGTCTTCCTTGCTGTGCCTGGAGAAACAGTGCCAGAGAGCTGTGGGGTTAGGACAGCCGTGTGCTTGAAGGCATCCATGGCTGTGTGGGAGCTGGGGCTGGTTTTGAGGAACTCCTAGTTCTGTAGATTTGCCTGTGGTGTGAATCCCAGGGGAATGTTTATTTTAAGTGATGTTGAAAAGCAGAGTCTATGATGCATTTGTGAACGGCTGCTTCCCCTTGGGTCTAGCTTGGAAGGTATGTGAGAAGGGAGGTGTTTACCAGGGTCCATGCCCACCCTCCGTCAGCGATCAGGCTTGGGGAGGGGAACGCAGTGCCATGGGGGTACAGGCTGTGAAGGCCCAGGGACGCTCAGCTGGAGCCTGGATGGATGGAGCAGCCGGGCTGTGGCCCACAGTTACCCACAGCCACCCGAGCTGTCAGCACCAGACCGCGTGCGGAGCCCAGCCTGAGGGCAGTAGCTGGAGCAGGTCTGCAAATCCCATAGACGAGCTGTGTTTGCCTTTCGGGATGTGCCCTGCACGAGCAGGGTGCACACCTCTGGGACACAGCACAGGCTGTCTGTGAAATGCGCCATTGGTCATGTCACTCCTTGCGTGCACTTAGTGCATTTGTACAGAGTGTGTGCCATGCTTGTGAGGTGGCTGTGGCTTTTGCGTGCTATGAGAGTGCTTGGTGACAGCAGGCTGTGTCTGGGGGGTGGTTAGGCAGGAGGTAACGCTCTAGTAATACCATGTGTAATACCCTCACCAAAAGCATCTCATTTGTATTCTTAGTAATTTTGCATCTTACTGCTTCCCGTGCTCCTTGAACCTCTGTCACTTCAGAAATAACAGTAGAGATTATTCAGGATTTCCTCTTACTCAGCCAGGAGTGGCTGTGACACAGCAAGAAATAATCCTGTGTCAGGTCAAACAGAAACCAAGCCACTGTGCCTTCCTCTAGACATGGCTCAGGACACTGCCAGCCCTGGGGTGCTAATTACAGAGAGCTATCCATCATGTACCGTACGTGCCTCTGAAGGGAGAAATGCAGAAATGGCTCTGAAATACCTGGGGAGAGGTGACTTTGGTGACCCTTCTGTGAGGGGAGCCTGCGACTGTGCAGGAGAAGCAAAGAGTTAGGAAGGTTGTATGTCAGTAGCAGCCCCAGATGTCCTCTCTGGTGGGAACAGTGGGATGCGCCTTTTTCCCTTCTGTTCTCCTTGCTGGGAGGCTGCTGTGAACTGCCACATTGGCAGGTGAGAGCAGCCAAGTAGGGCTGTGGCTGGAAGGAGGTGGCCCTCTGTGCCCACCTGTGGGAAGGGCAGAAGTTTCTGAGCCCAAAGGATGTGCGTGCCCTGCCCTGCACCGCTGCCAGGGCAGGGACCAGGCTCTCCTCCACCCCTTGGCTCTGCCTCATGGGCTTTTTGAGTCCAGCTCCCTGTCACTGTGTGAGGCTTGAGCAGGAGGGATGGCACACCCTGACCTGCTCCCGTTCGCCTCTGCCCTGCAGGACCATGAGAAGCAGTACGTGGGCTTTGCCACTCTGCCGAACCAGGTCCACCGGAAATCCGTGAAGAAGGGTTTTGACTTCACCCTGATGGTCGCAGGTGAGACTGCTGGTAGATGGAGATGGCCGGGCCTGTGGTGGGTGCGTGGAGGGGACCAGCTCTCCTCATTTCCCTTAGGTGCTCCCTTAGCGCCTGGATCCTCCCCTTGCTCTGTTCTGCTCCTTGTCTCAGACCTTGCTTTCCTCCCCGGCCTGTGTTGCAGTCACACTGTTTCCCCAGGAGGAATGGCCGTCCCTGACCACTCATAGCCTGCTCGAGCAAGCAGCGAGAGTAGCTTCTTCTCCAACAGAGTGGCTGGTCTGGGGGTGAAGGCAGGGCCAGCCAGGGACTGAGGGAGGGCAAGGGGAGGGAGGATGGAGTGGCTGGGAAATCATATTTGAACAAGGATTGAGACATCTTGCAGCAAAAGTCCTCCCACTGCTGGAAAAATGTAATGCCCATAAACAGCTTCTGACAGCTCATCTCTCTCACTTCCTCTGGCTCAGGATTCAAAGCCTTGTTCAGAGTTTCATTTGTAAGTCAATTAGTGGGTCATGTTGCTTGCTTTTCCCTCCTCCCCTTTGCGCTCTGTCAATTAGGAGAGTCGGGTCTGGGCAAATCCACGCTGGTGAATAGCCTGTTCCTGACAGACCTCTACAAAGACAGAAAGCTGCTCAACGCAGAGGGTAAGTTGGGGACAAAGGGGGGTGAACGGTTCTTGTGCCTGTGGATCTAGACTGTCCGAAGGACTAGTACTTTCATTCCTTGCTTCAGCAGCAGCTGCAGGCTCAGCTGGATCCCAGCCCTGTTTGTTGCTCTTCTCTCCTTTGCTGGCTGCAGAGCCACTGCTATTCCAGCAAGAAGGGTTTGGCTGTGGGGCTCTTCTGTCCTATGAGGGGAAGGCGAGGCTGCAGAGCAGCACTAGCCCTTTGGGTTGAGATGTTAAGAATTGTCTTTTGTTCCTGGGCGTTGGAGTGGGGTAGGATTTCCCCTTACCAAATGAGTGGACAAAATGTTCAGAACAGCTGGACTACAAGCACTTCAGAGGTTTGTGTATCTTCTCAGAGTCTGTTTGCCTGCTCCTGGCCTCCCACAGTACCACTCCCTTGAGGCTCCTTAGAGGATGATCAGGGTTTTTTGAACCCCATGTTACTCCCTGTGCTCAGTGATAAGGAGGGAGCCAGCTTGTCGTGGGTGTGAGCGGGGATCCCCAGCGTTACTGCCTGGCTTTAACTCACATATTCCTGTTCAAAGAGAGAATCAACCAGACAGTAGAGATCGTCAAGCACACAGTGGACATTGAGGAGAAGGGTGTCAAGCTGAAGCTGACCATAGTGGACACACCAGGCTTTGGAGATGCTGTTAACAACACTGAGTGGTGAGCAGGCCACTGCTGCCTTCCTCCTAGTCCTTGGCCATATCTGTTTGCTGTGGGTGCTTCACAGGAAGGGGGTCTGGCAGCGGGAAGGGAATGATGCTGCCTCATAGTCCCTAGGAGACACTGTCCTGTTAAACACATGATTTTGTTTTGATTGAATTGCCCTTCCCAGCTGGAAGCCCATCACTGACTACATCGACCAGCAGTTTGAGCAGTATTTTCGTGATGAGAGTGGCCTGAACCGGAAGAACATCCAGGACAACCGAGTGCATTGCTGCCTCTACTTCATCTCGCCCTTCGGGCACGGGTGAGAGCCCCCGCTCCCGGGCCAGGGTGTGACTCAGTCCAGAGGGAAAACCCTTGTGCACCAGGATTGCCCTATAGTGGCTCGTACATTGGCAGCACTGTTGGCACAGGAGAAGAGCCGTCTGGATGCTCTCCCTCAGCTGAGCATCACACCACCTCCCTCCCCCTCGCTGGCATGACAGGCTGCCTGTGACCAGGCAGAGCAGATCTCCCTCAGGCCTTACAGCCTGTTTTGGAAATCAGGAGAAATAATGCCACACAGACTTGTATCTTCCTATCTAGCTAAGCCTGACTGACGGGTAGGAAAGGGAGTTTTAAGCTGCCTTCATTCCCTGCCCCTTGCTGGCTCGTGCCGGGAGCAGCCGGAGGGGCCGTGTTGGCTGCCTGCAGCACAGGGCAGCCGGAGGGAGGCCTGGGGCTCTGGCCTGGGCAGTATTGGGCCTTCAAGGGGGCAAATACACAGCCTGTGCCCGTGTGAGACATTCATCAGCTAAATCTGAGACAGCTTTCCTGAAGGTACAGCCCTTAGATGAGGGCTGTCCCAGGGCTGCCCCAGGCTCTTGTGACAGTGCTTCCTTTTCCCTTCATGCTGGGTGGGTGGGAGAGGCTTGAGGGGGAGCTGCCTAGTGTGCCCTTGCTCAGCATGTCCCTCCTCATCCCTGCTACAGACTGAGGCCTGTGGATGTTGAGTTCATGAAGGCTCTGCATGAGAAGGTCAACATTGTGCCCCTGATTGCCAAAGCCGACTGCCTGATCCCCTCCGAGATCCGGAAGCTAAAAGAGAGGGTGAGATGCTCTTTCTCTACAGAGGTGTACCTGATGTGGCGTCAGGGATGGGCTGAGTACAGAGGGGAGAGAGAGAGATATATTGTGTGCATGCCTCTGTGTATATATATACACACACACATACAGTACCTGCAAATCTAATTGCAGCAGTGCTCTGCTGTGAGAAGGGAAGTGGTGTCTGCAGGGATGCCAGCTCTAGAAGAAACATCAAATTGTTTTGCCATCTAGGCTATAGCAAACCCATGGCAGTACAAACGGGGAATAAATGCAGCATTTCTGTATTGTTCAGTGTTGCATCCTTTTGGTTTTGTCTTGCATGGACACAGATCCGGGAAGAGATCGACAAATTTGGCATTAAAGTGTACCAGTTTCCTGAGTGTGACTCTGATGAAGATGAGGAGTTCAAGCAGCAAGACAGAGAGCTGAAGGTAAGGAACCTGCTCAGCAGGGGACTGGGAAGTCTGGCTCATGGGTATGTCGGTTGCTCCAGAAGGAGCCAGAGGTGCCCTATGTGTGCCAAAAGCCTGTGCTAGTGATACCCAGAGGACAGCCTACATTGGCTCACATGGTAGATGGCCTGGAGAAGGTGCTGATGTCAGTGCTGGTGCCATGAAGTCAAGTGTGTCATGAAGACATGGCACTTATGCTCTCCGACCAGGCAGTGACAATCTTTCCTCAGTCCACCCCAGCATGTATGTTTAAGATGGAGGCTGGGTTGTACAGCATTTGTAAACGCCTATTTCTGAGTGATGCTATAAGCAAGGAGGAGTGATTTGTGAGTGATGAGGCACCACTGTGACACATCAGTTGCACAGGGGGAACAACGTGATCATACAGGCCTGGCTGGAGGCTCCAGCACCAGGCCTGACCCGCTCCCAAGCTGAGCCAGCCCTGTGTGTGCATGCAGTATGGCCTTGTGTCTCCTGTCAGAGAGGTGCAATGGGCTTTGACTCTATTCTGAGCAGAGAGGAGCACAGCCTGTACATCCCTCCCTGGACAAGCTCTTGGCCTACATTGTGCCACTTGCTTGGTGTCCCAGCCTCTCTGCTCTGGCTTCCTTGTAGAGTTTCCCCTCAAAGAAGGGATCCAGGCACTTGCAGAGACACAGCTTCCCTCAGGACAGCTGAGAAGGTCAGGCTGGGAATTAGGCTGCCTGCACATCCCAGCACCTTAGGCTTTTCTCTGCAACTGTGTTGTGGTATCCTGTGCTGTGGCACATGTGGATGTCTCTGTGCCTTTCCTACCAGCACCTTCCTCCTCCTCTTCTGCTCTGCCCGAGCTTGGCCCTTGGAGGAAGGTCTGTGGGGAGCCCCGGGCTGAGCTGGGCTCAGTGATGCCTCTCATTCCAGGAGAGTGCTCCCTTTGCTGTCATTGGCAGTAACACTGTGGTGGAGGCGAAAGGCCAGCGAGTCCGTGGACGGCTGTACCCCTGGGGCATTGTGGAAGGTAAGTGTGGTGCCTGGGAGCTGGCACGGTGAGCTGGGGGAAGAGAGGCAGGCACTTGCAACAGGGATGGCAGGGGAAAGCTGGCTTCTGCACAGCTGCAACTGTGCCACCTTTGGCACATGGCAGGGGACAAGGTAGGGTAGAGACAGAGGCACTGGAACCAGCTCAGGAGGTCTGTTATGAGGGGTATAGCAATCACCCTGCCTCTGAAGCCATGACAGACTGAAGAAGAGAGGCTCCAGTGTGAATGAAAGAATGACTTTAATGCACTAGGATGTGGCTTCTTATTAAGGGGAGAGGCTGGGCATTGCCAGAGTTTCTGGGGAGAAGCCATTGCCCTCAGCCAAACTGAATTGTAAACTGTCCTGCACCCCCTCTTTCTTTGCTGCCACTCCTATATGTGCTGGAGTTGCCGGGCTGGAGGCTGTGCTGAGGCACAATGTGTTTTTCTCTATCTTTGTTTCTAAAGGGAGAAATTTCATAAAGCCCATAGACAAAATAATCCCGGAATGGCTTCTGCTGCCATTGCTGACTCCCATGCTGGCATGTTGCTCTAAGGTCTTGCAGCTATAGATCTGAAAAGCTTACGTGTGCACTTGTGGGCTAGTGTGGCTACTTGGGCTGCCCAGCTACTGCCTCTGCTCTCTCACTGGCTCCAGAGGGGTTGCGCTTGTCGGGGTGCTGGCATTTGGCAGTGGGATCAACTTTGTGAGACCCTGGGCCTGGCACAGACGGCTTCCCCCAGCCCTGTAGAGAGGTAAATGGAGATCACCATGGCAAGCACACTGCTACTGAGCACAACATTTCCCTGCAGAGTCCCACAGCGCTGCCTGCAGCCTGGCTCCCCCTGGTAACAGCAGCGCTTTCAGCTCTCCAGACCATTGCCTGCTCATGCCTTTGCTCCTCAGGGGCTGATTTTGCCTACAGGGGCCTTTTGATCAGTCCTAAATTCTGAGGACATGAGCAGTTTGCCTTCAGCACTGGCTGTGCTCACTGCGGTTATAACAACGACATCCCATCGTACCTGGGAGCAGCATCCTCTTTCAAGGCTTTGCTGTACATGCTTGCTTAATCCTCTTACCCAGGAAAAGTCCTGGGGCCGCAGTGACCTCAGCAGCCTGGCCTCAGCATCAAGAAGTGCAGAGCATCATCGGAGCCTGCGCCAGGACCGGGGGGAGAGCCCCAGGCAGTGGCAGGGGAGAGTGAGGGGAGGATGAAGAAGGAGCCCTGGGGGGAGTTTTAGTCCAGCCTGGGAACCGGGAGGTGAGAAGGGGCTCCCTGGAGAGGGCTGGTGAGGTGTGACATCCAAGCACTCTCCTGTTGTTGCTTCCGCAGTGGAAAACCAGGCACACTGCGACTTTGTGAAGCTGCGGAACATGCTGATCCGGACGCACATGCATGACCTGAAGGACGTCACTTGTGATGTTCACTATGAGAACTACCGAGCTCAGTGCATCCAGCAAATGACCAGGTGGGTCCTCACTGCTTCAACTGGAGGTGGCAGAGGTGTGTCACTCTCTGCGGAGCTGGGGTTGCTCTTAGAACTGCTCGTCAGTCAGGAGGCTGTGGGGTCTGCTGGGGACATGCTGAGCCTGGGGAATGGCACTGGGAAGTAAAATAGCAAATCCAAGCACTTCTTTCACAGCCTGAGCCCATGGTGGGAATGCTTTTGAGAATCCATGTTCCTGTCTGAGGGGCTCCCCATGCAGATCTTGGGAAACAGGCCTGGAGATTCTTTTGAAGAGCTGTTCCTAGCACTGGGTGAAATACATCCAGCCTAATGAAGCAAGGGATAAACCATCTCTCTGGTGGGTGATAGCTGTGTGCATTGCCAAAGAGCAAGGCATTCTGCAGTTCTGTCCAAGTGACAGCATGACCCTTGGGATGCTGCTGTTTCTCAGACAACAGAGCCCAGGCAATTATCAAGGCTCTTAATGAATCTCCAAAGATTTCTCTGCATTGTTTTCCCATTGCATTTGATTCTCTGTGGTTTTAGTCACAATGCTCAGAAAATAGAAGAGATAGCACTCACAGTCTTCTCATTTAAAACCTCTTTTTTTTTCCTTTCCCTTCCATGACTGAAATACTGGTGACAAATTTTAGGTTTAAGTAGGTCTTGGCTCATCTGTTGTAAACCATCCCCTTCACTTCCTGCCTGAACTGGCCGGGTCGCTCTGTGCTGCCACGTTGCAGAGCAGAAATGGCTGTGCTTCACCAAGGAACAGTCCTGCATGCGTGCAAACGTGCAGGTTGGCACATTCTGTTCACATACAGTGTATCTCAGTACTTTTGCATAGCAGACGAGCCTGTCTTTTTGAATAGTGAGAATACCGAGTCCGAAAATAACTATGTTAAATGCTACAGATCTGTGAGAAGTGTCACAGCTGCTATTTAGGTAGGCTGTGTATCTATTAAAAGAAGAGCACAATGAAAAAGCAGTTGCTCAGCTTAAGAAAAGCTTAAGTTGGGTACCGTTTCTCATGCCATGGCTACTTCGTTGCCAATGAACAAGTCTCATAAAGCCAGACCGTGGCCATTTCTAGCAGTGGGATAAAGGTCCTTTTCTAGAGAGATGTTTTGGGAGGAGATTCCAAACTCCAGGGATGGAATTGACTCAATAATGAGCCAACGGTGACTCCAAGTGGTGAACTCCTGCAAGTGGCAGCTTGAATTCCCAGTTTCATTCCAGGCGTCTTTGGCCACTACCACCCCCTCCTTACCTACGGAGAGCTCCCCTGACTTTTGGAAGAAAGTTACCTCCTTCCTCTGTCACCTGCCTGCACTCGTGTGCATCTCCAGCCCTCATCACAGTGCTGCAGTGCTGTGCCTGTTGCCTGTCATGTCTCCCACCTCCTGAATGTGAGGGCAGGTTTTGTTATCAGACTTGCAGTGATTAAACTGCTCCCCTGGTTTTGTCTTCCTGGAAAAAAAAGGACCGTGGTGAGTGTGTGGTGCCTTAGAGATGCTGACAGTTTGTGTTGATGGTGTACATGTGTGGGCACATGCACAGATGAGCCAAAAGAGACCAGATAAATCGGCTGTAAATGTCTCTGCTAAGCTTGCCAATGCAGTTACAAAGGAAGTCAGAAACATCAGCCCTTTCTGTGTTTGCTGTCAGTGTAAGCCTGGTTTGGGGTTTCTCTGTTAGCTACTTACAAGCTTCTGTTTTGAAAACTTTTATTGGCTTTGGTCTCATTCTGCATCTGAGTGCTTTCCACACCTCTGGGCTAGATTGCCCCACAGCCCCTCCAGTTGGCTGGGTGCATGCCGCTGCTTTGCTGGGAGGTCTGCCATCATGAGTGACAGCCATCGCGTGGTGACACCAAAGCCAGCCAGCCTGAACCACGACTGACTGCGTTTCCTCCCTCTCTCTGTTTCTCTAGCAAGCTGACTCAGGACAACAGGATAGAAAGCCCGATTCCTATCCTGCCTCTCCCAACACCGGACACTGAGACAGAGAAGCTGATCAAAATGAAGGATGAGGAGGTGAGACCCATTTCTGCGTGGGCCGCCTTGGTGTTGGAGCTGGAATCTGAGGAATTTCTCCAGGATTTCCCCATAGAGGCTGTCCTGGGGCTTCCCACTTCTGCCTCCCACCATCATGGGCTTCTGGAGTGTAGGACAGGGTGTGAAAGCTGTGGCTTCCTCTGTCAGGGAAACATGGCTCCGTTCCACCCCAGACACAGCTGCCTCTGTGCTCAGGCAGGAATTAATACTCTCTGAGGGATGCCTTTGACCCCCCTGTGCAGATCACCAGCTCCTGGCCACAACAGATCCCTTTTTGACTGTCTCTTCTCTGTCTCATGCAGTTACGGCGGATGCAAGAGATGCTGCAGAAGATGCAGCAGCAGATGCAGGATCAGTGAGAGGCAGGTACTTGGAGGGCAGAGGGAATCCCCCATAACCATCTGAGGCCTGGCAAGAGCTGTGGACGTTTAGAAAAGGTTTCCTGTTGTATAGAGACTTACGGGCAAGAGCCGCACCCGCACCCTCTAATTTATTAGCAGCAATGCTGGCTTTGCAGTCAGCTGGATTGTGGAGGAGGCTGTTCACTTAACAGTTTACTGATGTGTATTTCTTTTTTAATAATTATTCTTTCTTTTCTTTTTTCTTTTTTCTTTTTTAAAAGAAAATAGCCTGGGAAATCTCTAAGGCATCCTAAAAAAGAAAAAAAGAAAAGAAAAAGATCTCCCTTTCCCATGTACTAATCTGTTGTTTGGGAATGCTCTGGTATTTAAAGTCCTGGTTTCTCTGGTGTACAAACTTGAAGACTATCTGTGTCAATGCACGTAAATGTTTACTCCCAACTGAGGTGCCATGCCCCGTTCCCCGTTCCCCTTGTCTGGGGCCAGCACAAGCATTGTAAAGGCAGCCGTACCCTCCTGTGAGTTTGACCTCTGCTGCTTGGGCGCCTCAGCCTGTGGCCAGCTCTGGCCCAGAGACCTGGGGCTGGCGGTTTCTCTGCGTACTGACCTGCTCAGGGGTCCTGGTGGTTGCCTGGTTTCCTGCTCAGGTTTTTCTGAGTTTTTTTGTTTAGTTGATTGGTTTTGTTTTTCCTATCAAGAAATTCTGGAATCTTTGCACTGAGCAGCAAGGGACTGAGTCTCCTGAGGTCAGTTAGAAGAAAATGGCTTTGAATGCTCAAATTTATGTCTTTCTGACAGAGAGGATGAGTTGTTGACTGTTGCCTGCAAGGAGGAGATGATGGGAGTGAGCACCTTCCCAGCCATGGCTTCCTTCCACGGCAGGCCAGAGGTGTTAGTAGAGGAACCCCAGGGCCCTGCAGTAGCTGGGTGAGGGTATCTCATGGTTTAGCTCTGGTCATCCAGCTACAGTGTGTCTCCAGTGTCTGCTCTGAAAAGCCCCGTGGCAGTCAGAGTGCTTGGCTAGGACTCTTTTGGAGGGGGTAGAAAACCCAGGGCTGAAGTCCAACCCCAAATGCAGAGTTGTGCCCTACCCCCAGGCTTTGGAGTCCTACAAGTTCATTGCTGGCTCTGAGCTCCTCCTGGGGAAAGGGGCGGTATCTGTAGGCTTGTACTGGAGATCTGCAAGCCACTGGTCCAGGCAGGTGTTGGGTCACTGTGGCAGGTGTAGGAGTGTCACTGAATGGAGCTGAGCACAGCCCAGCAGACTTGGCACTTGCTCCCCTGCCCTTCCCTTGGGACTCAGCCCTTCTCCCCCTCCCTGGTCCGAGGCTCTTCCTGTCTCAGTGCTGGGAAGGCTGGTGGATCTGCTGGGCAGAGATAAGAGCACTCTTTGGGCAGCAGCTTCTGTCCTGTTCTTGCTTCTTGCAGTATTTTTAACTTCAGTCCAGCCAGAGTAGAGCCCCAGAGTGTGATGTGCCTGACAGGGCAGGGCTCACCGGCAACACTGCCACGCTCGCAGGGAATCGGGGTTGTCGGAGGGAGAAACACTTGGCTCTTCCCTCCGACTCCAGGGAGTGTTGCCATGGGCTGGGCCCTTCTGCTCCTCTGACTCCCGGCCTGATTCCTCTGTCCCTTTTCCCCCTTTGTATCTTCTCCTCCATCTCTGGCTCTCCCCAGTAGATCTCCCTGAGTAGGAAGCACAGTGTTGGCCAGGGGTAGCCAGGCCCTAAATTCTGTTATTAGGCGCTGCGTTTGTCTGATATCCCCTGTGGGGCTTTAGAGTCCTCATCAGGGCTTGTCCAAATGGTGAGTAGGTTGGCTGGTTCCAGTTATTCACTGTACAGAGCCTCTGCTTAGCCAGAACATGGGCTGCAGGGGCGGGGGACAGACAAAGGCAGTGCGGAAGGACAAAGTGAGGGTGGAAGCCCCTTGGCAGAAATGTGCAAGCTGGACAAGAGCCGTGTCCAACAATGGTGGTTGTTTTTTTTTGCTTTCATTCTCCTCTGTATTGGGCTCATAAGTGACAGTGACAGTGCCAGCCTAGGAGAGGGGAAGGGTTCAGCTTGTCTTCAGTAACATGTAGGACCAAGGTGCTTAAGGAGGAAATAGAACCTTTCTTTGTGCAATGTGGTTACTTGAGCAGTGGAGTAGCCAGAAACAGGAGCTTCCTCCACATTTTCTGGTACTGGTTTGCTGCTGTCTGAAGCAGCAGGACTGCCGAGTTCTCAGCTTTATCTGTGCTAGCATAACGGGAAACACCTTGCAGTACCTGTCCCCTCTCTTTTTCTTACACTAGTCTTGTCTGCGAGGAGGAAGTTCTGTTGCAAATGAGCACTGTACAGCTAGAGATGTTCCTCTTTTAAGCACATTCATTCCTAGAACATAAAGGAGACCTTTACCCTAAGCGTGGACATAGAGGAGCTGACAGCTTTTATCCTGGGCTGTGTGGGAAGTGCCGTGTGCTGGTGAGAGCACTGGGTACTCTGGTCACAGGCAGGCAGGATTGCTGAGGGTGAATCTGCCCCTGTCCCTCTGGGTGAGTAAGGCTCCATCAGCTCGGTGCACATGGCTCCTACATCAAGTTGATAGTCACAAGTCTGTCCTCTACAGAGAGCTGGAGCCTGTGGCTGCCAGCTGGCAAAGATGGTTCAAGCTGCATTTAGGGGGAAAAACGTACAGGAGTGAGTACAGAGACAACTTCTACAGAAGTGGTGCTGCTGAAGTCACACCCTGTGTAGGAGGGTCCCTGCACAGAGCACCAGAGCTTGGGGGCTGCCTGGAAAGGGATTAGAGACTGACTTTTGGGGGCACCAGGGATTCAGACTCTGTCCTGGAAGGTGGCATCTGTTTATTAAAGGAAGAGTGTTTTGTACTGCTGCATTGAGCTGCACAGTAAGCAGAGAAGAGACTCCTGAACAAATGTAGCTTGGCCATTTGGCTCTGGCAGGAAGAAGTATGGATAGGAAAGTAATTTAACACCTCCCCTCACGCAACCCTCCACAGCCTCCTATGCGACCCCTGCACTCCCAGGCACATTCCCATGCCTCTGCCAAGCTTTGCCCTGCTGAGTGAGTCGCTGCAGAGGTGGTGTCCCGCTCTGCAGAGCTGTCCCAGGCTGCAGCTGGGGCTGTCGGTATGATGTCTGAGATCTGGTGCCCGACTGGGGAGGGAGCCGTGGCATGAACTCCTTGTGTGCCGCTGCCGTACTGGTCCTGCCTGTGCAGTCCTTGCTGCCTCCCCGCATGCCTCCCCCCAGAGAAGGAGGGGGTCCCACTCTTCGTGCTCTGCGATGGCGTTCCCTGCTCCTCCTCACAAACCCCGCTGTGCTTTAATGCTGGCTTGCCGCTGCCATGCAACTTCCTCACCTCCGGCTCCATTCCTAGGCTCTTTGTTTCCTGTCCATCTGTTGGGTTATTATAATATATATTTTTTTGTAAATTTCTGTTTGAACATTTTGTCATTGTGAACAAAGAAAAATGAAACCTTTTAAAACATATCCATTTTATTAAATGATTATTGTTATTATTATTAATAATGTTTACTACCTGAATTGATCAGTGAAATAAATACATTCAGAAAACCAACCTCTTTCTGTTTAATTTTCAGTCCCCTTGAGCAGCATTGGTGATACATAATGGGCAGGAGAGAGCGAAACGGGCAGTGTTTCTCCTTTCATCTAATTCTGTCAGAGCAGGCTCCAGGCAGGGCTTCCTGCATGGGATTTCTGGCCTGTTTATGTCGGAAGATAGACAAGATGATCTTGAAGTTCTTCTATTTTTAAGCTTCCCCTAGGAGCGGTGTCTAAAACAGCAGTGGGCAGCTGGGCAGGATCCAGTCCCAGGAAATCCATTTTGTAAGTAGCCGAAGGGGCATTGCTGAGTCTGTGCTGCATGCAGAGCCAGAATGGGTCTGGCTATAGGTCAGCTCCGTGCCACACCTGGCCTGAACACCTGCCTGTGAATAAATGTAGCATCAAATGCATGAGACAAGGTAAGTTTGCTGAGCAAACTTACCCTGCGGTAGTCAAGCTGCTCCCAAGTGGAAAAAAGGCCCTGCAGGAAAAATTTGGTTTGTTTGTTAGCCTAAGATCTTTTTCCCACTCTGCCTGCCTGCCACAGTGAAACAACTGGAATGATCTGCTCCAACTTACTAGAAATTTAAAGCTTAATTGTTTTGTTTAGAGCATCAGAGATTTTTCCCTTGGTTAGGGTCAAATTCTGCTGTTGTTTACACTCTACATTCTCTTAACATCAGCACATTAGGGGCGTTCATCATTTTTGCTCTGTGTGATGTGGACAGTACAGGGTCATGGAGAGTTGGGCCCAATGGGGCAGCGGTTTTGCAATGTAGTTCTGGTGACCTTATCCCAAGGAGCATAGCCAATGCCTAGAGTCAGGCTGATGGCAGAAAAATGTCTGTGAAGGTGCGATGGCCTTGAGAAGACAAGATTCTACCTAAATGTAGTTTTGACCCTTGAATTTATCTGTTCAAGTATTTGGGTAATGCACCTTCTGAAAAAAGGATGTGGTCAGTTTTACTCAGTAACTGTAAGCTGCACTCATCAAGAGCTGCCGACTCATGTGGCTATCCAAAGAGCAGCCCCTCGGAGCACTGGCTTTCCCAATCTGTCATCCTTCTTGTGACTGTAACTAACTGGTTTATTTTTACGTAGACAGTGAAACGCCAAGAGTTATGTTTTACCCCTGTAACAATCATGAGAGAATGCATGTGCCTGGAGGATCTTTCACCTTGGCTCAACTATTGACACTAGTGTGGTCACTGGAAGTCCATTTCTTTCAGCAGATCTTCCACTGCTAATTAGGAGTAGATTTGTGTCAGTTTCAAGGGAAACTTCAGAGCCAGCACACTGCAAAGTGCTAGGTCTCACCCCTCTGCCAAATACAGTCTTCCTGATGAGGTGGGAAACCAAAGGCCACAGTGCTCAGGGAGTGGGGTACAGACCAGTAATGTCACCTTCCAGGTTGAAATGCATTTTGAGTTACTGCTTTGCAGTTGAGACTTTGCGATGTTTCTGTTGGACTGAGCATGTGGGCGCAGAATCCCAGTTACCAGTACTGCCAGCATCTCTCCCAGCAAACATGTTCTTGTGAGCAGTGTCAGCTCCCATTTCTTGGAAGACTTGCTCAATGAAGCCTCAGCTTCCGGTGACATGCAGCAAACTTGCAGGAAGGCCTCGTGTGGGAGGTGTCCCTGGGATGAGCCTGACCCTTATCTTGCCAGCCAGCTGCAAGGGGATTATCCGGGAGCTCGGCTATGCAGCTGCAAACACTCTTGCACTGGCTGGACTGCCTTAAGACCTTCCTCCTGTGTTGTAAAGCCAGCAAGAAAGCAAGGATTGAACTACTCTGGTAAGTCAACAAAGCTACCTTTTGTTCTTTTCTTTTTATTTGGTTGATGGATGGCACAAAAAAGCACTGCCTTGTTGCAGGTGTGTGTTGTTGTTCTAAAGAAGTTATAGCA